GGCCCTCCTCCCCTCCGCTCCCGCGGGGCCCGCGGGGCGCCTATGCCGACCCACAGAATCGCCGAGGGGCAGCCCTTGGAGGCCTGGAAATGGGCACCAACACCAACACAGGGGTTTGCCTCCACAGTGGGAAGATGATCCTAGATTTCGGTGTCGATGGTAATGTGTCGGTCACCTTGGAAGCCAGAATATCATCACCCTCACCGAGATTGGGATCTTCTTCCCTCGGTGGAGGCACACCGCCGATCTTGGTGTTGGTGCCAACCTCTAGGCCGGCCCGGCCGGCGAAGCCCAGCAGCGCCAGCCCCAGGAAGATGGCCAGGGCGCCGAGGAAGCTGACCCACTTCAGGCTGATCCACCGCACGAGCCGCCTGCCGGCGCGGTCGCGGGGCGGCGCGCCCCGCCGGGCCTTTTGCGGGGCGCGCGGGGGGAGCACAAAGGTACAGAGATTGGCCCGCGAAACCGCGGGCCCACGACGACGGGAGGCAGAGAGCTGCTGTACGCGTGGCGCGGGAGAGGGGGTCTGGCACGCGCGGACAAAGAGTGGGCGGGCGGGCAGGAAAGGGCTGCGGCTACGGAAGTGAAAGGGTGGACTTTGTCAAGTCTGCTGGACCTGACCTGCACGCTGTTCAAACATTCACGCACGAGCAGAAACAGAAAGTTCCGCGGAACCGCTCTAAACCTGGGAAAGGACAAGACGCAATTTCACGCGTGGCGCAAGAAAGGGTTCCCTGCAAAGACGTGCCCTTCGCCTTCCCTCCTACCACGCACAAACAACGGACTGTCCTCCAACCTAATTGACAAAAGCGGGTTCCACGCAGTGTCCACTGCCCCCCTCGCACCTTGAGGTGCCAAAGCTCGAAACTGGTAGAGGGGCGGGGAGGGAGACGGCCATCCAAACCCGACCATCGTTCAAGCAGACAAGAAACTCTTGTGGGGGTGCCGAATGCACGCCCCCCGGCACCTGACCACATGAGCAAAGCACAATGACATGACGCGGAAAATCCCGCGCGCCGCTCTGTCGGCCTTGCCGGCCTTGCCCGACACTGTCCCCCCGCCAGCCCTTCCGACGGAGCTCCCTCCCTTGCCGTGGGCTCCCGCGGCAGACGCCGCGCTGGCCGCGCCGTCCCCCTCGGGCACATCTCTCGGGCCATCCTCTGCCCGAGGTGGGACCGTTCCTCCGCTCTCAAGCGCATTGGTGTGTGGTTCCCTCGGGGGATGCCACCCCTGTGGTTGCTGCGCCGACGGGGGGCAGCCACTCGCGCCCCTGCCTGCCAACCCCATTTGGAGCACGCCTCAACTCTCCCCTTGCGACTCCTGGGGGGGGGCGCAAGCATCCGTCCTACCGACCCGCTGCGGCGCCCGCGCTCTCCTTCCGCTCCGGGCCATCTGGGTCCTCTGGGAAGGTGAACCTCACCTTCCGTTTCTGGTTCGTGGACGCCCGACATGGGTACGGACAAAATGGGCGCGATGCCCAAGAACTACAATGTTGTCCAAAACCGACAGCAGCCGCTGTTGGGCAGGCAGCCTTCTGTCTCACATGGACAACGCCCGCAGCGACACCGACAGCAAATCCTGTCCAAAATGAACCAGACATGCTGTCTGTGTCTGTACCCATGTTTTCGATACCCATGTCGATCGTCCCGATCCTCGGGTTTCCCGTCTCCCTCTTCTGGCGGGCCCTGCATGTTGGCACTCACCAGAATGAGCGTGTTCTCCTGGGTAGCCATTCCCATGGCCTCCGCCAGTCCTCTATACGGCCAGTGGGCTTCCCACTTGGGCACGTGGAAGGCAGTGGCGGCCCACTTGCCGAACCTTTGAGCCTTCAAGTCGGGGACCAGTGGCGCATAGCCGCGGTCACTCATATCCTGAGAGAGTGGCTTCCAATGCAAGAGGGATGTATGCCAGTGGGAGGAGGGAGGGGGCCAGGATGGGCGAACGGGGGAGGGCGGAGGAACTGGAGCGAGCGGCGGACGAACTGAAGGGAGCAATGAACCGCTGGGGGCGGCAAGCGGAAGGCGGGCTCGGCGGCACGCGGGGCGGCCTGTAGAGGCACACCTGGAAGACGAGGGCGACCACCGCGGTCCTCGCGCCCATCGTCGCTCAGCCACCCGTCCCGAGCCGACTGGCCACGGCGGGGGGGGGCCCGGGAACGGCCGATTCAGAGGCCCACCCCCAAAGGCGGAAGGACGGGACCAAGCATAATCCGAGCTCCATGGCAGCAGGCCTGGCCTGGGGGCCTCGCGACAGGGGCCCAAAATCGACCCCTGTCGCGGACGTGCACGGCGCGCCGAAGGCGTTCCAACAGATGCTGTTGCACAGTGCGACGACGCGGCGAAATGGACCCCACGTCGGGGAGGACCCGACCACACCTGTTACCGAACGCACGGCATTCCTTGAACTCCAGCCACGTAATATGAATCCCACTAGCTCTTTGGGCATAGGTGGCGTTAACGGATTTGGTTATTCACAAACCTCCTTCCCCTTGGGGGAGCGGAGC